GCATTTACAGATTTGAAACAATCCCATTTTGTACAGTTTGTTTATTTTCTGATTCAATTGTCTGTCGTTTAACCTGTGTTTGGTGGATGTAAATGTAGTTTCCATGAGCTTTTAGCCAAGATTCTTAGCTTTATATTGATACCAAACATGTCCAGGTTCAACTTACAGATCTTAGGTTAATAGAAGTTGAAAGAAATAAAAAACAGGAAATGCTGTTTTGGCTCAAGAGGTTAAGACTATAGTAGGTGCTAACCAGGTGATAATTCTACATTAAATGTGGATAAAAATAGTTCTACAAACATCAAACTGAAAAGTGATGCATTTCTTCCCACCTCCTTTGATTTGAAGTCCAAACTGCTAACTTTAATAGCCACATTAGTTAAATTTATGTGTCAAATGATCTCAGTATTTATAAACACTTGTTCTGATAAAGCCTCCAGAATCAACACTTCTAATTAGTAAAGGCTAGACCAAGGAACTCTCCACACAGGCCCGAGACAAAGATGTGAAGATGCACAAATCAAGGTTGGGTTATACAAAAATGAACACCTTGAGTCAGGCTTTAAGTTTGACACGTGTGCTTTAAAGTGTCTGTGACATCAATTTTTTGTAATAAAAATGAATGTACTTTTGGAAGGATAACACTGATAACATTATAAAAAAAAGTTTCACACCGCTGAGATGAACAGTTGTTGAGATATTTGCATGTGAAGTAACAGGAAGTGATGTCAAAGGGGAATGACTGAATGTGAACAGTGTTGCTAAAATGTTAACACAGACTGTAGAGAAGAATCTGATGTTTCTTTAGATTATTTTAATCACCATCAGAGAGAGATGAGGCAGAGTTATAGTTCAAATAGTATCRTTTAAATAAACAAAAACTAGAGTTTTATTTCTTGATGAGTCCCCTTTGATGTCACTTCCTGTTTCACTTTAGCTGAGCTAAATTCAAAAGAAAATATGCCAGTTATGTAACATAACGGGTAAAATCACATGTATTAGGCCATGTTTCTTAAATATAAATATATTTTCTTTGACTTTTTGTATTTCATGGCTATGCATATCACAGACACTTTAAAATCATACCTTAAACAAGTGATTTAGACAAGCTGTGCTTACAACACAACATTTAACTGTGATCCAATAAACTGGAATGGTGGTAGAAACTGAGTCACACCCATGAAGGTAATGCAGACACTGGTTTTAAGATTAGCTGATTTAGTTGGACGTTCTCACCTTCAGTAACGCCTGGCTGAACCTCCTCATCACGTTCAGGTACATCTCGTGTGTTTTAGGATCTCTCTGCTGTGTGTCCTGATCCTCGCACTCCACAATCACGTACCTGAAAAGATTAAAAAATATAATAAAACACTCAGTGCGTTTTAAAGAACTCTTCATTAAAGCAATAAACTGCGCTCACCAGTACAAGTAGTTGGCGAGTGTGGAGTTCTTGCAAGCACGTGAAATGAGGAAAGTACACAAGTCTTGCTGAAAAGATAAAAGAAAAAACAGTTTTATACTCTTTGTACGGACCCCCGATTTTTATTTGGGGCCGGTTTCTCACCTCTAGAGTCTCGCTGTCGACTCCTTCTTTGCCTTTTTGCTGAGGAGCAGAGGACGGTCCGGATGTGGCCGAAAGGCTCTGCAAGCTACAACAAAGAAAAAAGTAAAAATTMAAACCAGAAAGTGCATTTGAACAGTAATAAAAGCAGATGTTAATGTTTTGCTATATTCTACTTTTAAATTCGACATGGAGCTCGGTGTGGTGGCAGAGTCAGCCAACAGCCTGAGATTCTTGACTCAGCTGCAGAGCTGCCAGTAAAACCATAATAACCATCGAGTTCAATACGCTTTCYGAAACAGAAATAATCAAAGCCGGCGCAGCGGTGCACGCTACCCCTGCAAGCAAACATGCTGGAGGTAAATTTAGATCCTGAATGTAGAAATAAAACTTTCCGATGAGCTAAAAATATTTTTATTTCAATTTTAGAAAAGCCCCCCCACCCCCCACTTATAGTGCTGAAGCCAGAAGGGCTTTATTTCCACTGTTGTTCTGACCTGTCCAGCGTGGGGTCATCTGAAAGTCCCTGGCTCTCTCTCTTGCTCCCTGGCTCCAAGCCGCCCTGGATGTCACTGAAGTTCTCGTACTTGAGCGCCTGCACCAGCTGGAGCAGGTACATCAGCAGGTCCTGACGAGGGGAAAACGTGGAGGTTGTTAGAACAGAGGTGCAACAAGAAGCCGTTTCTAAATAAACCTCAGATTCCCAAATAGCAAAATCRGTCTGGGCCAGTTCTGGCCCAAGCTATTTACTAACACTYGGCCCAGGTACYGCRAAGAATGAYGGCCCTTTGGTGGCCCAKATGTGTTTTGCCAGAGGTGGTCCATGCATGGGCCAGAACCACAWAAACCAAACCACGACCAGGCCAGTTGTGGCATGCCATCWTAAACACAGTGCCATCMCTGCCAGACCTGGCCCACACCTGTCTGCTGTGTGGGATGTTCCTCCATAAGAGCTCTAAAATCTTTTATATTTCAATACGTTGTTMTGAAATAAATTACTTGAAACACTGAATGAAGGTGTCTTGTAAACTTATAACATCTGATAGTGTCAGTTATTAAAAACATTGGTATCRGCAGGTCAGACAGGTAGTCTCATTTATACAAGTGAGACCTGTAAAGAAGCTGTTACAGTAGTCCAGAGATTCTTAACCTATGGACCGCGGCCCAATTGTGGGCCGTGAGCGCCACCTTGAGGGCCTCAAAAGAACAACAGTTTTTAACTTTGGGCCGCAGAGGGCCGTGAGATCGATTTTGAATAAGGTGCAATACACTTTCTCACCACTAGTAGCGATAGTGCGCCACTCAGTTGTTTGACACCATTTTTAATATGTAGAAGAAGAACCTTAGAAACCTGTTGAGAATGGAAAATTATTTTAAATGAAAAGTAGAAGCAAAAATAAAGGTAACCCATCAAAAAACACCAAAGTATGTCATTAATATGAAGTGCAGCTTCTGTTTTTACCATTTAATATTTTAAAAGTTCAAAACATTATCAAATACAGTTGCAGAAC